GCTTTAGACAGAACCTTAAAAGATCTGCGAAGCAATCATAACCAATTTGGTGATGCAATGATTTTATAAGCAGGAGATTTTCGTAAAACATTGCCAGTGATTTGACGATCAACACCAGCTGATGAACTCAATGCATGTCTAAAGTTCTCCAATTTGTGGAAACATGTCAAAGTATTTAAGCAAGAATATGCGCGACGAGTTGCAAAATCACCAATCTAGAAACATGTTCACTAAAGAACTCATTGACATTGGTAATGGAAAATTTCCTATAGACATGTTAACTGGCTGCATTAACTTTCCTCAAAGTTTTTGTTAGTTAACTCGATCAAAAGATGAACTTATTCAAAAGGTGTTTCCAGATGTTTTTCTAAATTACAGAAATCCTGATTGGTTGAGCGAACGAGCTATATTAGCTGCAAGAAACATAGATGCAAATGAATTAAATTTAAAAATTCCAGAACAAATTACAGGTGAATCGAGGATATATAAACCAATTGGTTGGGCTACTAACCAAAATGCTGTAGTGAACTATCCACCAGAATTTTTAAACTCGCTGGATTTGCAAGGTTTGCCACCTCACAATCTTCAAGTAAAGGTTGGATCGGTAGTTTARTGTAGCGAAATATCAACCAACCACGTCTTTGCAAAGGCACACGGTTAGCGACAAAAAAAATTACTAAAAAACGGATTAGAAGMAACTATACTGAAAGGAAAGTATAAAGGAGAAGACATTCTCATACCGCGCATCTCAATGATTCCGACTGATGTGTCATTTGACTTTAAACGGCTACAGTTTCCAGTTCGGCTTGCTTTTGCAATGACCATAAACAAGTCCCAGGGGCAATCGTGAAGTGTTTGTGGTATTAATTGGGAAAATTGTATGTTGCCTGTTCCCGTGTTGGAAAACCATCAGATTTGTTTGTCTATGCGCAATTTAATCAAACAAAGAACATCGTATATCACAAAGCACTACAATGAAAATAAAACTGATTTTTGTGAATAATTATGATACACATGATTAACAATAAAATTATTATTTATTTTTAAATGCTTATATATGTTTTATGTAATTATATTTCTTATTCACAACGCCCTATCACCAAGGTGATGTTTCTGTTCAAGAGAATTTTTTGCCCCGACTATAAAATATGTAGGAACAAAAAAATGTCACATTACAAATCAAGATTTTATTACTATTTAATTACGCAGTACGAGGTCTGGCATGCTAAGCGTGGCGTGTTCACGAATTGGAAAACCATCTTCTCTGTACATTTACGAAAAATCGAAAATAAATGATTTTCAAAACAATATAAATCCAACTTTCTTTGTGTGATTTCTTGATTATTCCGATGCTTGAGAATTTGCTTTTGTATTCATTTACATTTTTTTTCTTTTCCCTTCAAGAAGAAGTGGCTATAAGAGAAACTGGATGAAGTAAAAGAAGGCTACGAGCGAACGAGGGAATAGTAAGTGCCATACACTACAGGATAGGGACTATGTAGAAAATTCGCAGTTAAAAATTCAAATTAACAAATCGATAAGTGAAACGGTTTTATAATAATATAAGAAACGCAATCAGAACCAGACAACAAAGGATTTATTCCTAAGCCATTGATTTAACAATGAAAATTCTTAATATACTCTTAACTAGTTAGATACAAATTCTGTTACGCTCCATATCCAAATATCAGCAAAATTCAACTTGTCTGTAACCTTATTCACATAACGGGTGTTTGTAACATCTGAAAGTAAACAAAATATGTATATATAGCGTTACATACATATAAGTGATCAGGATAACGAGACGAGTTGAATTTCGAATGTATAGTATGTCGTTCCTCTGTCCTTACTTGAGTACAAACTGAAAAATCTTGAATATGGGCGGAATCGGACCACTGCCACGCCCACAAAATGCTTTTAAGCGAAAACATATAAAATACTCTAACTGAGACATTAAGATAAAACACTGTAATTTGGTTTGGTACAAGACATAAAGGTAGAAGCTTTAATTTTCACGGAAAGCCATGAATATTGGACAATGGACGCGGCACAGCCTACTTTTAGTGGAATTCGGTGCGTATCATTAATAAAATATTTGTATGTGACACTAAGAAAATAGTCTAAATTGGACTAAAACGTCGCCTTTAAATTTTTTATTATTGTTTAACTTTAAATTATACGTATATAGATATCAGGCAGCAATTTAAATATCGATAAAAAGCTTTGGCCAAATTGTCTTTAAAGTACATCATGTTCTAGCTAAGAACGGTTGAAATCGGACCATAAATTT